CTTTACTGAGATATAATTATATACCATACAATCACCTATTTAAAGTACATAATTGGGGCACCTGGGTGGCTTAGTCAGTTAAACGTCCTACTCTTGTTTTCAGCTCAGGTCTTGATCTCAGGGTCATGAGCCCCATGTTGGGCTCCATGCTGGGCATGAAGCCTACTTGGAAAAAAAAAGGAAAAGATAAAGCACATAATCCATTACTACAGTCAATTTCAGAATATTTTCATTATACCAAAAATAAACCCCATTTTTCTTAGCTACTAAATCCCTTCATTCCCCCCAGCCCTAGGCAATGACTAATATCCTTTCTGTCTCTTTAGATTTGCCCATTCTGGACATTTCATATAAATGTAATTATGCAATCTGTGGTCCTTTATGACTGTCTTCTTTGATTTAACATGATGTTTTCAGGGTTCATCCATATGAGAGCATTTATCAGTACTTCATTCTTTTTTTTTTTTTTTTTTTTTACTGAATAACATTGCATTGTATGAGTATAGTACATTTTATTTATTTGTTCATTAATTAACAGACATTAATGTTTCTGCTTTTTACCTGCTTTGAATAATGCTACTATGAATGTTGTATAAAAGTTTTTGTGTAGACATATGTTTTCATTTCACTGGTTATATACCTAGGAGTAGAATTGCTGGATCATAAAGTAATTCTTTGTTTATCCACCTGAGGACCTGCCAGACTGTTTTCCAAGATGGCCACACCATTTTACATTCCCACCAGCAGTATGTGGGGGTTCCATTTTCCTTTTTTCTTTTTTAAAATTTTTACTTTTTTATAATTTCTTAGTGTTTTATTTATTCTTGAGAGAGAGCATGAATTGGGGGAGGGGCAGAGAGAGAGGGAGACAGAATTCAAAGCAGGCTCCAGGCTCTGAGCTGTCAGCACAGAGCCTGACACAGGGCTCGAACCCACAAACTGTGAGATCATGACCTGAGCTGAAGTCAGACACTTAACCAACTGAGCCACCCAGGTGCCCTTTTTAAATATTTATTTATTTTGAGAGAGGAAGAATGCACGTGTCTATGGGAGAGGGGCAGAGAGAGAGGGAGAGAGAGAATCCCAAGCAGGCTCCATGCTGTCTGCACAGAGCCCAATGTGTGGCTTGATATTACAAACTGTGAAATCATGACCTGAGCTGAAATCAAGGGTCAGATGGTTAACTAACTGAGCTACCCAGGAGCCCTGAGGTTCCATTTTCAATGAACATACCACTTGCCCTCTCTTTAATATAAATGAGGGCTCTAGAAAAAGGTTTTAACAGCCCTAAAGAGCTATTTGATGCTTCTTATAACATTGAGCCCTGCCATCCAGATTTGCCAGAAAGGCCCTGGGTTTGTCTGAGGGTAGCCTCTCCCTCTTTTCCTCTCCCTGAGGAGTTTGGCCTCAGGCTTGTGCCAGCCTCCTCACTACTCCAGACCAGCATGCCTGGCCAGACCCAAGCTCCTGTCCTCCCCCGACTGACATTGTTGGCTTTGCTTGACTGACTGATATATCCATTTTTAGGTAAATGCCCAGTCATAAAACGTTTGCAGCCATAAAGTTTTACAGAGAAATCATAAAAGGTTTTTCTGTGAGCTTTGGTCTGTGAGATGACTTCCCTGTCCACCTGCGGGAACGTCGTATCGTTTTTGGCCTGTCTTCTTTCTTCCTATCGTCTCCTGTTAAGAGGAGCCAGTTGCCCTAGAAGGAAGGGATATGTGTAACTCTTTTTTTTTTTTTTTTTTAAGCTTATTTATTTATTTCGAGAGAGAAGGAAAGACAGCGTGCAAGTGAGAGAGAATCCCAAGCAGGCTCTGCACTGTCAGTGCAGAGCCTGATGTGAGGCTCGAACTCACTAAACGTGAGATCATGACCTGAGCCGAAACCCAAGAGTTGGAGGTTTAACCGACTGAGTCACCCAGGCGCCCTTGGGATACTTATAACTCTTATCGACCAACATAAGATGAAGCCTACACTGAAAAGCTCAGTTTTTCAGAGGGAACCTGATCTCGGTGCATCAGTTATTCTTTGTGTGTGACTTCCCGAGCACATGATACATTTCTAAAGGTGTCTCTTTGTTCTGCTGCTGTAGAGATTCTAATCATGTGAGCCACTCACTTGAACCCTAATCTTTTTTAGAAATCCTCCCATCAGAGAAGCAAGATTTAGGAGGGCTTTTGGAGCTGATTCGAAGGACACACACAAACACTAGAGAAGAAGTCTCCATGTTGGATTTCTGGGAGACATATTGAAAGCTCTGCCTGTTCAAGATGGATAGGAAGACCTACTCCTATAATAATGATAGTAGCCAACATTTGTTGTCAGGCAATGTGCAAAGGCCTTTTCATGCATTGTCAAATTTAAGAAAATTCACCTGTTGTCATCCAAGTAACCAAATGAGGAAATGGAGCCTGAGAGGTATGATTTGCCCAAAGTCACATAGCTAGTAAGCGAAGAAGATGGCATTGCTGGGATAAAAATGCACGTGTCTGTCACAACTGTGTTTTTGGCTTGGCTGCACAGTAGTGGTGCTTGATAAATATTTACCCGAGCAAATGAAGTAGCAAAAACACTGGATGCATGTGCTCAATGAGAAGGGACAGGAATGAGGCCTGGGTGTCTTCCCATCCCCTGGAGAGGAATGAACACCTCCTGTTACTGGTGGGAGGTTGGCAGGCTTGCCAGGACCTGTCTTTCTTATCAGGAAGGTAACCCAAAAGTGTTACACCATTTCACCCAAGGAAGCCTAGAGTTGACTTTTCTATAATCCTAGGGGAGGAAGGGGAAGACATACTTTCCTTATCTACCATTCGGCTGGTCTGATGTTCCTAAGGGCCCTAGTAAGGAATTATACCTGCAAGAAAGAACCCTGCCTTCTCCCTCTTCCAGGGTCACAGAGATGAGGCCAGGATGAGAGGAGTGACATACAGGTCAAGCTATTTTAGGAAACTGCCTGACTAATTTTAAGGATGGAGCAGACACTGAAGTGCCTTATTGAGTTGAAGGAGCTTGTTATACATATGGAGAAAAGGGTAGGATAGATCTGCTCCCTTGGGTTTCTCCTCTAGGCTGCCATTGTTCTTGGGGCATGGTACCAGAGGTGTCCATTCATGGTTCCAAATGTGCAGTTCCCGGGACAGGAAAAATGCAGAGTATAGTCCCAGGTTAAACATCTGCTTAACTCAAATAGTCATGGCTAGCAGACCAGGCCCTGTCGTGTGGGCATGGCCAGCACGAGCTCCCTGCCCCTGTCATTAGAGAATGTACCAAGAGAAAGGAGCATTGGGCAGCTATCCTTGGGGGTCTGCTATACAGGTGTGAAAAGGCTTTGTTGGGACACCCTTTCAGTTGTTGGAAAAGTGTTCAATGGGGTTGAATTGTGTTTTAAAATATTTAGAGAAAGCTAATTCTTAGGGTCTCGTTGGGGCTAGAGGAGCAAGAAGGAAAGTACCAGGTGCAGGCCTCTCCCCCCATTGCCAGAAGGCAGAAGGGTATGGCAAGAATGAAGTAAATCTGGGTTGGGATGAAGGTTGTTACAAGATTGTTGAGATGTTTAAATGCATGTCAGACACTTATCCGATGCCTTTCATGTTATATATCCCAATTAATTTTAGCAGTGTGTTGTAATAATAGTGATTATAACAGTTTTATAGTTTTCAAATCTGGTTTCTAAACTTTAAACTTCTTTTTGCCTCAGGACTTACAGAGAATTAGCTGAAGGCAGGATTTTGAATGACTCTTAACTGGTGGGGACAACCACAGAACACAGTATGTGCTGTTGGGCCTGGCTTTCTCCTTTCCCCATGCATGATTAGAAAGCTTTGTCATGGGCTGAACAAAGGAGCTCCTGTGTAAAATACTTCCTTAATCCATTCACTCGTCTCTTGGCTATTCTATCTGACTTCCTGGTACTCGTGTTTCTTAAGTGGTTTCGTTTCTGAGTCACCCACCTGAGGTTGGGTAGCTGTGGCACCATCCATATGCTCTGTACTCACACAGGTAGCCTTATAAAGCACCAGTTTCCAAATCTTCTCTTGTGGGCCTGGAGAGTGGATGTTGGGTATCCCACCTTTGGATTGTGTAGCCACTGTAGGCTCTTGTGAGTATATTTTCCCCCAAAGTAGAGGGCTCTGATCTTGTTGATCCCAAGAGATATTGAGAAGGAGCACTAAATGCGGATTTCACAGTGTTGGGTCCAGCACCAGCTGTGTTGCTTATGTGCCTTAGTTCCTTCCTGGCATCTTTGGGAGGATTCTGGCCGGGATGAGAATACACATATGGAAGGGCTTGTGGACTGCTAAATGTAAGAATGGTAGTGTCGATGCTATCACTGTCCTTACTACCCTGGGGCTGTGCGAGTTGGTAAGGACAGAGCCCCATGATGGTGACCCCGAGGGAGCCCTTTGGTTGAAGCTTCCTAGAAGAATTTTCATCTGCCATTGTTTGTTGAAACCCATCCTTTGGTCCATCCATCCATCCATCCATCCATCCATCCAGCAGTTATTTATTGAGCTCTTATTGTATGCCAGGCAGTGTTCTGGGAACTAGGGAAATAAAAAGTTAAAAATTCCAGTTTTCATTGAGCTTCTATTCTAGTGGGAGAGACTGAAAATAAACAGGTAAATAAAATAAATGAAGTACCTTTGCACCAACAGACTTGGTGCTTCAGGACCCAGTGGTTGGCATCCTGAAGTATGTGTCCTCTTCTCTCTCATACACCCTGTTTCTATCATAGTGTGTATCACACTGCTTCCCACCCTACATTGTGAGCACCATGAGGGCAGAGATTGACTTGGGCTCACCATATTTCTCTGGTACCTAGTTTAATAATAGACATCTTGAAGGGGCACACAATGTGGTGATCAAACCATAATCAACCATACAAAGAGGGGAGAAGGGTAAAAAGTCCAATAGGCACCAGTTTCCTGGGTGTCTTCATGGGAATTAGTCTATATATAGTGTGTAAATATATGACACATAGGTCTAAGTACCTTTTCACCTAACAATACTATCTTGGAGATCATTTCCTTTTAGAGCTTCCTTATTTTTTTGAACAATTCTATTCCGTTATATGGTTATTACATGATTTATTTAACTGGTTCCCTAGCAAAAGCTTATGTCATTGTTTGCAGTCTTTTGCTGTGATGAAAATCCCGTGGTGAGCAAGTTGTTCTTATTCGCATATTTGCAAGTCCCACATGATAATTCCTAGAAGTGGGATTGCTGACTCAGGGCATGCCATTCCGTATTGATTTGTAAAGTGAAAGCAGAAAAATGAGTGGACTAATGATCCCATGTAGTTGACAAAGTCACCAGTCCCTGGGAGTGTTCTGCTCATTGGCCTTATGGCATCTGATATCACTTCTTTTTTTGTGCACCAGGCTGGAGAAACCATGTTCAATCGTGCCAAGCTCCTCAACATTGGCTTTCAAGAGGCCTTGAAGGATTATGACTACAACTGCTTTGTGTTTAGCGACGTGGACCTCATTCCAATGAATGATCATAATGCCTACAGGTGTTTTTCACAGCCACGGCACATTTCTGTAGCAATGGATAAGTTTGGATTTAGGTAAGAGATGTTCACCAGAATCTGCAGGAAACATGTTTCACTCTTACATGATGACTAGGAAATGCAATTCCTGTAGCCCAGGAGTGTCTCTTTAGGTTCTTGGAGGAGAATTTTTCCTCTGAGAACTGGGTGCTTTTTAAGCCCAAAGTCCGTAAAACTTGAGAAGAAAAGTGAAGTTCAGAAACACCCCTACCTCTACACATCCAGGCAAGAAGAGTTTTTATGTTTGGGATGGCTCTTGCCTTTAGGCTCCAAACAGATGCTGTATTTCCTTGCTTTCTTCTGTCCTCTTCCCCACACAGTTTGGGAAGCAAATTGGACTCATTTTCCCCAAGTAGATTCTTGGGATTGGGTACCTTGGCAGATATACCTTGGTACTTTAAGAAGGAACATGATACTGTTTCCCTGCAAAGCACAGGCTTCTGTTTAAGCATGAGGACCCAAACTTTCCCACCAAAATGCCCCTAGTGAGAGGTCAGCCAATGCCTCTCTCTAAGAGCAATAGTATAATCTTAAGGTCATAGATGGAAAATAGCCTTATGTAGTCTTTTTTTTTTAATCTTAAAAAAAGAAATCTGCATTTTGCTCCATAATTATCCGTTTATATTAACATAGAATTGTTTAAAATCACCTGTTAGTTGAGTATGCTGACCTTTCCCTCCTTGCTCTACGTTAGCTTGAAGCTCCAGGAAGCTGTGCTGCAGACCCCACGTGCTAGGCATCCCTGGCCTGGGTGCGCCGCCGTGGTGTGGCAGGCCTGTGCCAGTCAGCAGTCCCTTGGTTTAGATATGAATGCTTTCTTTCAGACTCCTTTTATTCCCATTTCTTTCTGTCTTCCCTTGCTGGGGGCAGTGAGGGCTATGAAACTAAGGATGCTGTGAGGAGAATTTGACTCTAAACATCACCCTGTGCCCTCTCCCCTCTTCCCTGTTTATGTACCTTCTTCTCTTTAAGAGACACAGGCTCAAACCCTGTCCCCTCTTAATTTCTCCCCTTGAAGCGTGGTGGTAAGGACCTCATTCTTTGCCACAGCACCGTGCTTGTTTTACCCAGAACCAGTCAGGCTTGGGGGATGAGGTGGTGGGTCAGAGAAAACACAGACAGCAAACTGAATCTCATCAGCTCGGCATGCGCTTCCCCGTGAGGTCACGAAGAGTCCCTTTTTTTGTAAAAATGCTGATCGTGACAAACCTTAGTGGCCTGGCCACCTGGTTCAAACCCTCACTTGTAATCAGGTGCGGACGGTTGTGTGACGTGTGTCCAAAGGTGGGTAACTGGGCCCCTAACTGATGACACCTAATTATAGATAGATTACCTTTGACTCATTAAAGCAGGCCCTTCTGGATCTTCATGGATACTTCTAGTCCAATGTCCTGAATGTATTTGAAAATAATCATTGCAGCTTTTTTTTCATATGCTCTGTATGGTTTGGCTGACTTCCCCCTTCAAGTCTGAGTTAGTTTTCCTTAAATTGTGTGATGGATTTTAGTCTCTTTGGATTCCAGTAAGAGCCCTAGTGTGGTTTGGTGCTGCATACAAGGTCATCCCAAAACCACAGCCTTTAAAGGACCCATAGGAAAGCCTTTGCCTGGCTTCCGGGTATGATCTGAGTGTTAACATTTCTCATTGGTGCTCCGTCTGCATCCTTCAGAAGCTCATGATTCATAACCATTGAAATAGTAAAATATCGGGGCACCTGGGTGGCTCAGTCAGTTAAGCTTCTGACTCTTGGTTTCGACTCAGGTTGTGATCTCACAGTTCCTGAGATCCAGCCCCGTGTTGGGCTCTGAGGGCTCAGCGCTGGCAGCCCGGAACCTGCTTGGGACCTCTCTCTCAGTGTGTTTTCCCTGCTCATGCTAGCGCCCATGCACACACACTCTCTCTCAAAATAAAGAAATAAACGTTAAAAATATAGTAAAATACAAAAAGGTGTGGAAAGATGAGAGCCCTGATGCCCCACTTCTTGAAAATGTATCAAAATAGATTCACCATTATACATTTTGCTAAGTCGGGATGTGGTAGAAATTTCCTAGAAAATTTTATTTTGGCAAATTTTCGGAAACGCTATTTTGACTGTTGGGGTCAGAGTTCAAGCCAGTATACCTGTGGAAGAATGAAAGTTAGACTGGTAGATGGGCTGAGGGTGGAAAGGGAGGGCATGACAGGGTGGGCACAGGGAGACTTTACCACAATCTCGGTTTCCAGGACCTCCTGGATAAGCATTTCTCATGCAGGAGCAGGACACATGGGAAGCAGTTTCCTGAATGGGGCACAGGAAGTGCGCTTATGCTCTCTCGTCATTGACTAATTTTCCAGGTAACCATAGAAGCAACACAATATTCTTAGAGCAAATTCTACTTTTTGACTTCTGTGTCTTCTCTACTGATATATAAAAACAGAACAAAGAAAACCCTTATAAATCCCCAATTTATAAGTTCCAGAGAATAAAAATAACTTCAGAAGCATTTATTTGTGCTTTGAGCATGCTTTATTTTGAAAGTCAAAACTTACTAACCACTGGTTTTCTTTGTGTGTGTGTGTGTGCGTGTGTGTTTTTCCCCCAGCCTACCTTATGTTCAGTATTTTGGAGGTGTCTCTGCTCTAAGTAAACAGCAATTTCTCACCATCAATGGATTTCCGAATAATTATTGGGGCTGGGGAGGTGAAGATGATGACATTTTTAACAGGTAATTGTCCCAACTTAGATGTCTTTCTCCCCTGTCTCCCTTCACTTCCAGTTTTTCAATCAGTGCCTGATTATTCTGCAAGGATTGACCCTTGGGAGGGATGTAGTCCCCACTCAGCCCAAATTCTTAGATGTGCCCTGCTGTAGGTGCTACAGGTGCTGAAAAATGTCTTTAGGAAGTTTAGCTTTTGTGATTTTTGCATTAGCCTTGGAACGTGCAAAATGAGAACCAAATAAAGGGTTGGGTTTACTTTGATTTATCCCACATGCCATTTTGTCCTAAAGAAGTAAACATGCCCTTTGCAAAAATTCAGCATCTCATTGTGGTCCCGTTTGATTATGAAACAAGTTTCTTTGGGCAGGATCCTAAGTTCCTTTACAAAATCTTTGTGCTATTTGTTTATTTTGGAATATTTTTAACAAACATAAAAGAGGACTGAGTAGTATAATGAACTTCTGTGGACCCACCCAGCCCCAACAACCACTACTTTCTACCAGCCCTGTCCGCCCCATCCACACCCCCAGGGCTCCTTTATCATGTGCATTGTCATTGCAGATGGTAAAAAGAAAAAACAAAACAAAACACCAGTGGCATTTGAAACCACATTCTGCCCAGTTCTCCCTGACAGTGGAAACTTCAACCCTGCCATCTCCAGATAAGATGTAACTTCTCCCTCTGGGAGTTAGTCTGAGCTTGTCACTGAGCTTGATATCAGAATATACCCTAGCTCCTTCCCGAATTGGAGTACCTTAATTTGATCAATTAACAGAATGTGTCTGTCAGAGCAGCACCCAAGTCAGTCAAGTTTAGCTTTGTGTGAGAACCTGTCATAGACCCAGGTCTTTACTATCAACCTGGAAGAAAACATGAGGTTTAGAGGATGCGGATTGATTATCAAGCATCTTCAGACAGAGCACTGTGTCACACAGGCCCGATGGGGAGGACACTGAAGCCCCAGACAGGGGGTCCAGACAGAAACAAACTTGCTTCCACAGCACCACCTGGGCAAACCTCAGACCCACAGGATGGTGTTAGGGGCTGATGTGACACCACAGATGCAAGCAGTTAAGAGGGTTAGTGGGAAGGGAGCACTGAGAATGGACACCCAAGGGTGGAGGGACTAGAAGGATGGGTGGCTGGGGGAGCAGCTTTATTGAAAGATAAAGGACCTAACTCACCGTATGCCAGGCGCTGAGGGAGACAAGGCCAGAAACCTTTAAGTTATCCAGGACCGGCCAGTCCTGCTTTTTAACCAACTTGTGCTCCTGCTGTGTCAAGGCTTTGGTTGTGGTCCTCATTCCTTTCCCCCAGATCTACACAGAACCTTCCACCCTGTTCTGGCTGCCTCTAGTCTTGTTCTCTGCTCTCCATTCTTAACAGTGCTTATCAGAGAGTCCTCCCTTTGGCCAAAAACTTTGGGTAACTGTATATTCTACCCCTTTCAGACACTGGCACTGATCTGAAAAATGGGATGCGAAAAGCTCTGAGAAGGCCTCCATGATTTAGCCTTCACCCTTCTTTCCAGCCTCATCTCTGACCACTTTCTACCCCAGACTCTTTCCACCAGTCCCCAGAAGCTTCTGTTGTTCCCCGAGGGCCCTGTGTTTGCTCTGCCTCCCTGCCTTTGCCTGTGCTGTCCCGACTGCCCTAAATGCTCTGTGGGCACCCATTCGTCTTCATAGCTGGCTCTGCCTAGTCTTGCTCAGGTAGAGTGAGTGGCTTCTCCTTCTGTGCTCCCCACCACCACCTCCCCTCCTCACCTCCATCCTGGCACTGATGGTCCTATGTTCTAAGTCCACATTATAAGTTCTGTGAGGGTAGACACCCCCAGTGCCTGGCACAGAACACTCCCCAACCAACACAAACTACAGAACCAGTGGTCAAAGGGCACAGGGAATTAGCGTGAGTTTTAACTGATGCCACAGTGAGCTGAGGTATGGGCTGAGTGAGAACAGTGAACAAGATGGCGGATGGGGCAACAGTCTGGGGCTGTCGGACCCAAGCCTTATGGCAGCTTTGCAGTGACGACTTGTCCCTTCACTCCTTGCAGGTTAGTTTTTAGAGGCATGTCTGTTTCTCGCCCAAATGCTGTGGTTGGCAAGTGCCGGATGATCCGCCACTCAAGAGACAAGAAAAATGAACCCAATCCTCAGAGGTGTGTTCTATGTTCATTTACATTCTTTCTTTCCCCTTTCAGGTGGGGTAGGCTATAGGAATGAGGCTCTGGTGAGGGCTCCAGGCCTCAAGGGGAAGGGAGGGATCTGTCCATGAGTTGGGTAGAGTAGACTAGGTGGTGGGGTGGGGGTGGGGGGGCAATGAAGGACAAATGTTTCATGTTTTTTTTTCTTAAGATTTTTGTTTTGACACCAACCCTTTGCCTGTTTTTCTCTTGTAGGTTTGACCGAATTGCACATACAAAGGAGACTATGCTCTCTGACGGTTTGAACACACTCAGTTACAAGGTGTTGGACATAGAGAGAAACCCGTTGTATACCAAAATCACAGTGGACATCGGGACACCGAGCTAGCATTTTGGTACACTAATAAGAGACCTGAAAATGGCCAGGGACCTCTGCTGTGTGTCTCTGCCAATCTGCTGGGCCGGTCCCTTTCATTCTTAACAACCAGAGTGATAGGCCCCCTCCAGTCATCATTCAGATGCCTTTCCAGATGACCAGGACGAGTGGGATATTTTGCCCCCAACTTGGCTCAGCATGTGACTTCTTAGCTCTACGAGGTGTTTGTAAATGTAGAAACTATCAGCCTTTGGGGGAATCTCGGCATGTTCACAGTGTCACCCCAAAGAATCAGTACACAGCCCCAAATTTGGTGACTGTGGGACTCATTTCCAGTGATAAACTCCTAATCTGTTGTGAAATAGGTAAGAATTTCGCTTTAAATTGTGGTATTCTTATTACTTCATGAAAAATCGGAGAGTGCTGCTGAAATCGGATTGGTGTGATGTTTTTTGTTTGCATATTCTAACAGAAAAACACAATCTCGACCTTTCTCATTTTACTCCTCCCCCACCTTTTAGCAGTATGCAGCTACCACAATCACTTGTGTGCGTATGTCTTTTCTTAGCAAAAGGATTTTAAAACTTGAGCCTTCGACCTTTTGCCCTGCTAACGTGTGAATTCCAAGGCAACGTTAGCCATCAGAGCAAAAGCCTTGAGTGTCCTCAAATTCAGTGGCCTTTCTCCAGATTGTCTGATTTCTGAATGTAAAGACTTTTTTTTTTTTTTTTTAAAGCAGTTTGTAGTATTTTAAAGAAAGAACAAATCGGGTTTTATTATGATCTAGCTTGATTTTGTGTTGACCCAGATTTGCATAGCTGTTTAGTGTTAAATCATGACAATTTATTTTTCTGAGCATGCTATATAAACTTGAATTTCCTATGTATTTTTATTGTGGTGTTTTAAACGTAGGGAGGGGATTGAGCATTTTTTAGTGGGAGAAATAGCATATGCTGTAGTGGCCTGATTTGGCCGGCAGGTCAGGTTTTGTAAAGAGCAAAATCACTTTTGGGCCCTTTGAGGGCAAGACCTCCCTGGTCAGAGTTATCCTGCTAGACCTCTGGGGGAGGCAAAAGCCTAGGTCTGCCAGGCAGAGCTCCCCACCTCCCTACCCTCCCCAGGTGGGAGGGAACCTCCTCCACCCCTCTTCCCACTGACCCTGGGACCTCCCTTTAGGGCCCTAGGCTGTGGAGTTCTAAATGATAGCAATCAGGTTGTTTACTGGCCCTTAGTCTGGGGAGGGGGAGGAAATCACTGCTCTGGCCCCTGTGGAGTCCAGGGGCCACCTCCTTCACTGTGCTAGCCACATTGCCTGGCCTACCTTGCTGGACCCATTCTCCTTCCTCCCCCCTTCTCCTTTCTCCTTTCTGTCTCCTTTCTCCTTCCTTCCTCTCCGTTTTTGTTCCTTTGCCTCTTGCCTGTTCCCTAAAACTTGCCTGTGGCACTCAGGGTCAAACAGACTATTCATTCTCCAGCATGAATGTGCCTTTTAATTAGAGATCTAGAAAGTTCAGCTGAACCCTCCCACACTCCCTCACAACCACTCTGGTGCCTAAAGCCTCCCAGTCCCCTTCAGGTTTTTAGCAGGTGCTTGCACTCCAGGGAGGCTGATCCACAGGGGTGTATTCCCCAGACCCACCTCTCCTGGGGGAGAGCGAGGACTGCCTGGGGTGGGATGCACAAGGCAGTTGCTACCCCTGGCTGCCCTTGTCGGGTCCAGCCTGAGCTAAGGGCAAAAAGAGTCAGCTATCTAATCCCAGGGTTGACCCTTTAGCTGGTGGCAGCCCAGAGCCCCACCACTGGCCTCCTGGAAGCCAGCCCTCAGTGTGGAGGCTGAACTGGTGCCCAGCCCTGGTCTTACCTGTGCCTTTATCGCTTTGAGCATCTTGGATGCTACCATGGTTCTTTTCCAGAAGCCTTTGTATTGGTTAAAAATTATTTTCCACTGCAGAAGCAGCTGGGCTATGCGAAGAGTATTCGTTCGGTCAGTCCCCCTTTCCTTGACAGGGGTGTCAGTGGAACCAGGAATGACCGCCCTGAGAGGGAGTTTTGGGAAATACAAAGAATGAAGACCTCTCCTCTCCTTCTGTCCCCAGATCCTGGCTTTTCCAAAGTGCCTTAAAAGAAGGGAGACAAATATCCTGAGTTGTAACTTCTTTATTATATACTTTACTCTTACAAAAAAATTCTGACTTTTTTTTTTCCTCCTGTTTTCCTGTTACACTTTCCTTCATGTTCCACTGGAATAGTCAAGTGTGTGGTTCGTTCTCAGAACCAAGGGAGCTTCTGCTTCACCTGTTCCCCACTTGCTGACCTTCTGGTGCTTTCATGGGGCCCACTTGGGCCCAAGGTTAGGCCCGGATGCTTGCCTGGTTTATAAGATGCTGTGGGCCCTCTTTCCTCCCTGAGGAGGTTAGGGCTGAGGGTTCAGGGAGCATTTCCTTCACCTGGAAGGTGTCACCATGAAGTTGTTATGTGCTGTGTCTTTCTCTGTTTCTGTCCATCCCGATGCTGGTGACCCCGTGAAGTGACCTTTGGGAAAGATTAGAAGGCAGAGGTGGCACGAGAGGGTAGAAGAAATGCTGGTGCTGGCTCTCAGTCTGGGCAGGGTCTCTGCTGACCTCAGGGCTGGGCGTGGGTGCCCCACTCAGCCAGTACGGCAGCTGTCCTGTCCCAGAGACCTGTTGTGCTGTGTATTTCGATCTCCCATGTATGCAAATGTATGTGTTTACCATTGTAAGTGGGAGGGGGGAATGTCTGACCTTGGTGTTCAAAACAGAACTGTATTTTTGTCTTTAAAATCCAGTAATATAACGTGAATAAATGACCTTATCTTTGTAACCTCAGGTGGTTTCTTTTCTTTTTTTTTTTAAATTATTTTTTTTTTCAACGTTTATTTATTTTTGGGACAGAGAGAGACAGAGCATGAACGGGGGAGGGGCAGAGAGAGAGGGAGACACAGAATCGGAAACGGGCTCCAGGCTCTGAGCCATCAGCCCAGAGCCTGACGCGGGGCTCGAACTCACAGACCGCGAGATCGTGACCTGGCTGAAGTCGGACGCTTAACCGACTGCGCCACCCAGACGCCCCAGTTTCTTTTCTGCTTTAAGTAAGGGGTTTGGGCTCTCCGGCCCGGAGGGAAATGATTGGGACTGCCTGCTGGGAGGATCAGAGGAGAGCAGAGGTCTGCCACAAGGGGGCAGGTCATGGCTGTGGGTGGCGGTGGTCCCTCACCTGACTATGTTCCACACACCTCACTGGAATCAGCCATTTCCCAGTCTGAGCCTCATTTTCTTACCTGAAAATGGAAATAATAGCACCTAGACTTTCTGAGGCTTAAAAGAGATGATGGGTCTAAAATAATGACTGGTACCTCACAGGTACTTACTACATAGTAGTTAGTACCACTTCAAAATAGAATTTCCACTAGCAGTTCTCTGGCCACATTCTGCTGTATTCAGCAGTCACCATGAGAGTTCCGAGATCCTTCGCAGAGCCATTTACACAGGTGTTCGCAGAGTAACTTAAATGGTACCATACGAAGTAAGATTTCTTTTCGGTCCCAGGACATTTAAACAGATGTTCTACAGGGTCTTAGTTGTGACTCAAGGACTTGAGACAGTAAGTACCCTGTGTGCCTTCTCCTTCTCATCACCCCCAGGATCAGGTACCAGCAACATATTAAGGTGCTGGTTGGATTGACTTGGCATCTGGAAGAAATGTGTCAGAGGAGACCGGTATGAAGGAGAGGGCACCCTTGCTGTCCAGGTTGGTGGAGCTGTGAACGTGGGACCAACTGGGAAACAGGGGCAGTAAGGGCAGCACTGTATAGCCCCCCAGTGCTATCTGGCTATCCCCACCCATCCTTGTGACTGCTGAAAGGACCCCTAGGGGCCTCAGACCTGAACAGAGGTGGCCTTGGGCTCAGATCTGACCTTTGAACAGGAGCCTCTCATCCTTTCAACAAAGTGCTGCCTTTGCAAGCTGTAAGGTCTGGGTGAAGTGGAGCACCTTCTGTCCCCAAAGATGCACATATCCGCACAAATACATACAAACTAACATGCATAACATACCTGACATGTGCCTATGAGAGACCAGAGTGCCTGGGTTCAAATCCTACTGTTGCTTCTTCCTAGTGCTGTGATGTGACCACTCCAAATCTGGAGGCACCCAGGACCTCACCGGTGGTGTTTTCCCTCCCCTTCCCTGCCTCACCTGAGTAAAGGTGTTTGGAATGGCAGCACTGGGAAGGAAGGGGGCTTGAACCCCCATGGTGGGCTCTGAGGGGGCCAGGAAGGGATGATGGCAGGAGGAAGGGGGCCACAGACAGACTCCTGGGGGTTGGCCATTTCCTTGAGATGTGCTCTGTCTCATCTCCCACTCCACATGGACCCAGACCAAGTCTGAGCCAGGCAGAGCTCAGGAGTCATGCAGTGTGGACTGGGTGGGCACCAGGCCCCCCTACACAGTACCTTTCTTCCATGGGAGACTGTGACCTGGATGCCAAATCACTGACTTACAAATAACTTTTGGAGGCAGGGCGATGGTGCCCAGGTCACTGGGTCCTTGTGGAGGTATGCGAGTGGAACCTCCCGAAAGTAGGAGTATTTGCTGCTGGTGACCAGAGGGAAGCTGTGTGTAGGGAGAGGTCAAGGAAATGAGAAGATGCCCAAGTTCTAAGTGTTACCAAGTCTTCACCACACTTCCAGTCTCCCCTCCTCTTGTTTATTCCAGGAGGTGAGAGTTTGCACATTCCTAGGGGCTGATTTCTTAGAACTGGAACTTATTTGCCCTGTCAGAAAGGAAATGAGGTTTGTCTGGCTGAGCCAGTCATGCCAGACAAGCCTCATTTCCTTCTCTGGCACAGTCCCCGGGCAGGGAATGTGGCTATTGCCTTCATCTGGGCTCAGGGACCTGTACCCGGGTTGTGAGGCAGAGAAACCTTTGGGACATGGTTGTTATGGGTAGTTACAGGGTCAGTAGGCCAGAAACCACAGGGACATGGCACCACAAGGACGTCTGCCTTTGAGCAAGATGTGTGCCAGCTCACCAGGCAGGGGGCTTGGGAAGATGGCCAGGAAAAAGCCATGTAAACAGTGATCATTACTTCTGGCTCTTTCTGCCTTCCCATTCACTGTGTAACTCTGGGCAAGTGGACTTCCGTCTCTGAGCCCTTGGTTTGCTCTTCTGTTTTAGGACTTGCTCTCAGACTCCACCTCTGGTTTCCCCATAGTTCTGCCCTTCTCCCAGTAGGAAGTGCCTTGATTTGGGTTTCCTTTTGTCCCTGAGGTTAACCCTTCTTATCACCTTGAAGGAAGTCACTTTATCTCTGAGTCTTCATTTATAAAAATAGCAGGATCGGCCCCGCCTGCCCTGTGCAAATCACCCACACTGAGATACCACTTTATACCCATTAGGATGGCTGTTATCAAAAAACCAAAATTAGCATTGCTGAGCATGTGGAAAAATTCCAACGCCTGTGCACTGCTGGTGGGAATATAATATGGCATAGCACCTATGGAATATCTCATGGTGATTCCTCAAAAAATTAAACATAGAATTGCCATATGATCCAGTAATTACTACTTCAGGATATATACCCAAAAGAAATGAAAGCGAGGACTTGAATAGATACTTGTAAACGCATGTTCACAGCAGACTTATTCACAATAGTCAAAAGGTGGAGATGACCCAAGTGTCTATCAAGGGATGAATGGATAAACAAAATGTGGTGTGTACATAAAATGGAATAGCATTCAGCCTTAAAAAGAAAGGAAGTTCTGACAAATACTACGGCGTAGATGAACCTTGAAGACATTATGCTAAGTGAAATAAACCAGTTACAAAGGGACAGATATTACGTGATTCCACTATGTGAGGTACCTAAGTAGTCAAATTCATAGAGACAGAAAGTTGAGTGATGGTTGCCAGGGGCTGTAGGGGAGAGTGAGTAGAGGGAAGAATGGAAGTTAGGGTTCAATGAGTACTGAGTTGTAGTTGTAGAAAATGAAGTTCTGGAGATGGATGGTGGCGATAGTTGCACAATAGGAATGTACTAAATGCCACAGAACTGTGTACTTAAAAGTGGTTAAAATGATAAACTCCATGTTATATATATATATATATATATATATGTATATATATATATATATATGCTATAGAGTGAGTGTGCCCCCCCCCCAATTCACGTTGAAACTTTATTCCCAGTATGATGGTATTTGGAGCTGAGGCCTTTGGGAGGTGGTTAGCTCATGAAGACAGAGCCCACGTGCATGGGATTAGTGCCCTTGTAAATGAGACCTGGAGAGCTCCCTCATCCCTTCTGCTACATGAGGTTAGAGCAAGAAGGCTCAGTCTGTGAACCAGGAAGCAGCCCCTCACCAGACATCAAATCTGCCAGCACCTTAATCTTAGACTTCCCAGCCTCCAGGACTGTGAGAAATGAATTTCTGTTGTTGATAAGCCTTCCAGTCTATGCTATTTTTGTTACAGCAGCCTGAAAAGACCAAGACGGCATACTTTACCACAGTTTTTAAAAAAGGAGGCAGCTCCCTGTGGCCAAACTTGACCTCATCTTGCTCTGGAGGTGGCTGAGGATGGTGGTGTGGGGTCCAGCACCCACCTGGAGATTTCACGTGTGAGAAGGGCTGGCCATGTGGGGAGTGCCACCTGAGAATCTGCTAATCATGGGCACTCAGCTTGGTTGCTGAATCCAGCTTGGTGCTCTGCCCCAGATAACTGGCTTTACAGTTGCTATGCCCAAGACTAATATCCTTCCCTAAAGAAACTAGATGCAAAGCTGCCAGGGGGGGTTGGGGGAAGAAGGGGAAGCCTGGACTCAGGCAGGTTATCATGACCGGGGGACAAGGAGGCGCTTACTCCAGAGTGCCCCCTTGATTCCCATTTACTGTTGGCAGAAACTAGGGGTCATGCTGGAGGCTTTTTAAAAGAAGAAATGACAAGCTGGGGCCAGATTGCACCTGGGGATAACATAGTCACCTAGATAAATTCTGTCTAGATGAAGGGGAAGGCCCCTAAGTGCCAGGAGGGAGACCACAAGTGAGTTCTGAAGGGCAGGAGGGAGGGACGCTTGGGAGAGATGGTCCTAGACTTGGTGTTGGTGAGGGTGGGGGAACCTCCATCCCCATGCTACTGCATTGTACATCCTTTCTGGGAGTGGACTGTAGACAAGTAAATCTTAAAAGTGGACCTACCCCTTGACCTTGCAATTCAGCTTCTAGGAGTTTATCCGAAGAAAGCAAAGCCATGCACTGAGATGCGAGTGTGTACCCTGCCACTGCTTGTAATACTGAACATTTAGAAGCCACCATCAATGGGGGACTGTGCTAAATAAATGAAGTGCATGCCAGCAATTAAGTACAGTGTGACCATTGAGAATGATGAAGTAGATCTATATTTATCGATTGGGAAGAGGTATAAGAAAAAAAGGAAACTACCGAATGGTTTTTCCATACATGGCAGGGAAATGTATGAATAATTTAGTGCAGAAATTACTCTGTAATTGTTTGTGGGGGCAGATGCACGAGCAATAAAATGAGGAGATGATCTTCCCTTTTCCGCACAGACTGTACAGCTAGGCTCCTCAGGAGTAACCATCTTTAGTGTTTCAGGGGTTGCCTGAGGGCTATTAACAGCGCTGTGCTGGCCCCATTGAAAGAATGAGCAGGATTGTCCCCTGGGGGGTTGCATTCCCTGCAAGTGCCCAGACTTGGAAGGAAGATGGGGGCTCCCCCTACAGGGGAGTGGTGCAGGCCTGTGCCCAGTTCCCAATGTGGTAGGATGTGGCATACTGTGGGGATGCTCAATGGAGGCTGGACAGGAGCTC